CCCCCCCCCCCCCCAGGGGCTCTGCGCGGGGTGGAGCAGGACCCGGCAATGCCTGCTGGGAGCTGTGTGCTGACCGCTGCCTCCCCACTGCAGCTGGAAGCCCGGCAGGCACTTAACGAGGCGGTGTGCGCAGAACTGCGTTCCCGAATCCTGGAGCTCTGGGACCGCCTGCAGGTTCCAGCCGAGGAGAGGGATGCTGTGGCCCCACACATGACCGGGTCCCGCGCCAGGACCAGGAGAGAGGTAAGGAAGCCTGCCTGCCTTTGGGGGAGGGCAGGCTGCCTGCTCCTGGTAGCGCAGGCAGGGGGGAGGACCCAGCACTCCATCCTGTAGCTCTTGTGCAGGAGTCTGCAGCCGCTGAAAGCTGTTAGTCCCTGGAGCGCAGGCTGCTCCTGATACCCTGAGCCCGTGTGTGGTCTGCTCCCTCCCCAGCTGCAGCTGGAAGTGGACCGCCTGGAGGAGCTGAAGCTGCAGAACATGAAGGTGGTGATCGAGGCGATCCGCGTGGAGCTGGCAGCCTACTGGGACAAGTGCTTCTACAGTCCAGGCCAGCGGGAGGGTTTTGCCCCCTATTATGATGGTGTGTTGGGACCGGGGGGTTGGAGCCTGGTGTGCTGTGGGGGTTCCTGCTTGCAGCCGGCCTGGCCTTGTAACCCCGCTGTCGTCTTCCCAGAGGACTACACGGAGACCCTGCTGCAGCTCCATGACGCTGAGGTGGGGAGGCTGAAGCACTACTACGAGACACACAGGGAGCTCTTTGAGGCCGTCCAGAAGTGGGAGGAAAACTGGAGACTGTTCCTGGAGCTGGAGGTATTGACCCTGTGTGGGGAGCAAGTTTGTGCTACACATGGCACAACGAGCATCTGGCCACAAGGGCTGGGACGGCAGTAGTCCGGGCCAGCAATATCCCAGTTCAGGGGCCTGGGGTGGGGTAGTCTCCTCTTGCTGCACTCTGGCATGGGGGATCGCAGGGTGCTGGGGTGGGCCTGGGCTACCTTGTAACTGGGCTCTTGCACCTCAGAGAAAAGCAAGCGACCCGAGCCGCTTTGCCAACCGCGGGGGGAACCTCCTAAAGGAAGAGAAGCAGCGGGCCAAGCTGCAGAAGACCCTCCCCAAGGTGAGCGAGGCTCTGGGTGGGGGTGCCTGGGCCCCCCAAGCGTGCAGGTGCCTGCCCTCCTGTCCTGAGTGCCGGGGAGCTGGGGTTGGGGTGGGGGAAGGGTCATGGGTCTCGCGGGTCATGCTGTCAGCAGGGACAGACTTGACCACCCCTTGACGCCCCTTCCTGCAATCTGGCCCAGCTGGAGGAGGAGCTGCGCGTGCGCATTGAGGGCTGGGAGCATGAGAACCAGGAGGCTTTTCTGGTGAGCGGGCAGCAGTTCATGGAGTACGTGGCAGAGCAGTGGCAGCTCTTCCGCCTGGAGAAGGAGAAGGAGAAACAGGAGCGCGTAAGTGTGGGGCTGAGCTGCAGCTGCAGCAGGGTGGGCTCAGATATGTTGAGGTGCCCCTGCCCTCAGTCTGGTGCACCCCTTCCCTACCACGTGTCCTGGGCTGGCATGTGTGGCACGGTACCGGTCTGTGATGCTGGCACTGCTGTTGTGTTGTGCGAAGCCTGTCTGGGGAGAGGTTGTCACACTGTTTAGGTGGGATCCCTCCTGTCTCTGGCAAATGGGCCTGAGCACATGTGAGGAGCTGACCTTATGCCCTGCCTCCAGCCTGTAGCTGCTCAACAACTGCAAGTGCTGTAGTGCAGCTCTGTGCCAAGGGGTAGGGCCAGCGGCATCCCACATGCTCTGGACAGGCTGGGTTCTGACAGCAGGGCCCTCGTGTACCCTCAGCAGTCCTGGTTTGTTGGGGGTCCACTGGCTCTGCGCTCTCCTCCCAATGCTGCCCGCTGGGCACAGCTGTATGCACAGCCCTGGGCACTGCTGCCCTGTGCTGCCATGTGTCTGGCATAAAGTAGCTGGGACCAGTTCCCTGCCTGTGGCACTTGGGCTGGGCCATCCCTTTCCCAGTCCTGTCTGTAAGCATCTCTCCTGTACAGCAACTGAAGAAGAGCCGGCAGATCGAGGAAGAGATGTTGTATGGTGCTGTGCCCAAGACACCTGCCAAGCGCCGTGTGCTGGGGCCTCACACGCCTGGCAAAGTAAGGAAGGTAATTGCATGCTCCCCCTACATCACAGCCGGTGGAAGGGTTCGGGCTTCCTGGGCCCACAGGTATTGGGATTAGCCAGTGCCCCCGAGCTGGAGGAGGCAGCACTGCAGGCTCAGTGGTAGTGGTGCGGGCTGTCTTCTTGTAGCAGCAGCGTCTTTGCTGCAGCCTCCTGTGTTGGGCTGCGTGGTTGGGCTCTGGCCCACTGTACTGTGCCCACATCTTGTGCCAACCTCATGCTCTCCCCTCAGCTCAACGCCACCTCCGTCTCCAGTGCCACTCCCAACAGCACGATACGTTCAGGCTTTGGCACGGTGCTCTGCCATTCCCCGGTGTCCCGGCTGCCGCCTTCTGCAGGCAAAGTGAGTATGCACGGTCTTCTGCCTTGTGGGGCCCCTCTGCAGGCACGCAGCCTCCCAGCCACTTGCAGGGCAGGAGGAGTGCAAGACCTGAGGGTGGGAACAGCTCCTCAGCTACTCTACCCTGGCGTGCACCACCAATGTGCAGCTGCCCGGGCCTAACCCCCAGCGCTGCCACTAGGCATTGTTCCGAGCCAGCACCTGCAGGTTTGCCAGGCACATGTCCAAGTGCCCTGCTGCCTGTGGGAGTGCAGCCTGCACTGGGACACTCCTGGGCCACTGTAGCGCTTTGGGGTGAGCTTGTCTGGCTCAGCACAGTGGAGGCTGCTGAGCTCTGCCCACGTTTGCCCTTGAGCTGGGCTGATGCTGGAAGGCCAGTGAGTGGCTGGGCTCCAGCACAATGGGTCAGAACTCTGGCCTGGGACCAGGGTGGGGAGTGGGAATGGAGATGAAGCCAACTCTGCAGGACCTACCAGGCTGTTTGTCAGTCCTCCCTAACTGTGCTTGTCTGTTGCAGCTTGGCCAGTCTGCTCGGCACCCTGGCCACGTGGCCGCCAAGCCCCCGCGTCCTGGTCTCAAGGAGCGCAACAAGGAGAACGTGCCGCAGCTGCATGGCCCCGGGCTGAGCGGTGGGTGCACCCCCACGGCCCCTGCCCAACGTAACTACAGCATTAACTCTGTTGCCAGCACCTATTCCGAATTTGCGGTAATTTACCTCTTCTCAACACTCTGGGCAGCATGTGGTGCCAGACCCTGCACTGCCCTGCCCCGCAGCGTACCCCTGGGCCCAGCCTGGGCCAACTCCTGTGCAGACCAGAGCCTGGGGACACGTGTTTGGTGCTGGCTCCAACTCCAGTGAAATCATGACCAACACCTCTGCCTCGGGCCTGGTTTTTGGGGAGGGACCCAGCTGGCCCCTTGCCACTCCCCTCAGCACTGGGGCACAGAACGATTTGCTAACCTCATACTAACCAACCCACCAGCCCCAGGCAGCAGGGCAGGCATCTCCCTGCAGTGCAGGGGAGTGGAGGCAGGCTCATGTCTGGGGGTTGTGAGGTGTCTGAGGGAACAAACCAGGTCCCTTGCGGCTCAGCCCCGCTGTGGCCGCCTTCCCGAGCCCTAGTGCTCTGAGCAGGGGGTGACACAGGCCTGAGTTGTCCCTTTAGGGTTGGAGTCTGCAGCACCACTTTCCTGGTGCCCAATTTCCAAGGTGGCGGGCAGTCAGAACCGTGTCTGCGCCACTCCCTGTGCAGCTAGGCACGGAGATGCTCTAGGAGCCTGTGCCTCCAACAGGCTACTGGGTGGCTGGGCACCAAAGCTCTGGTTCAGAGCCTTGCTGGCTCCCTCTCTTCCACCCCCATGGTGCCAGCTGCAGGGAGGAGAGCGAGTAGCTTGAGCCTTCTCGCATCCCCCTGGCTGAGTCCTGGATGGGCTGCTGCACATCCTTGCTGCTGACTTTGCTTCTGGAAGCGCCCCAGGGCATGCACTTGGGCTCTAGGTTAACGCCCCTGCTGTCTGCCCAGGTGCTTGGGGTTGCCAGCCTGAGCCTCAGGCAGCCTCTCCAACCCCAGGCTTCCCTGGGACCCTGTGTGAAAGACCCTGGGAGGCCTGTGGCTGTGGCCAGGCTCTGCCTCGCCTCAGTGTGGCAGGGGTGGGAAAGTCCCTGCTCTAACTCCAGTCCAGGGCTGGGGCCAGGGAGGAAGGAGCACAGCAGAGGCCATGTGTCCCTGGACTGACTACATGGTCAGAACAAGCCTCACTTCAAGCCAGAGAGCAGGGCTGGCACTTCTGGCTCACTGCCTGTGGCAGGCTGGGCATTCAGCTCCACAGGCCAGAGCAGGACCCCAGTGGTGGCTAGCTGGGAGGGGGTGATGTCCCCACCCAGGACATGCCCCATGACAGTAAACTGGGGCTGAGATCATCTGCAGGAACGGAGGAAGCGAGCTGCCGCCGGAGGGAGGCAGCTCGTGCAGAAGATGGGGCCTTCCTTTCCCATCTGGCTTGGTGCCAGCTGAGGCCAAGGGTTTTAGGAGCAGTCAGCTCTGAAGTGGAGCATCCATGACTACCCCACCCTCGCCTGCCCTGGCCTGGCGGAGTAGAGCTTTACTGCTTAGCTTCTCAGCCTATGGCACGGCCATGGCCCATGCTCAAGGCCCCAGCGCCCTAGTCCACCGTGTCACTGGCCTCTTTCTCTTTTGCAGCGCGAGCTCTCAAAGGCCTCCAGGTCTGACACCAGCTCCCACATCCTGAACTCCACCACCACCAACCTGCACTGCTGAGGCACGGCTGCCTGGCCTGGCCCCAGCGCTGTCACTAGCCGCTGTTCCCAGAGCCACCGCGTGCACCTGTCTCAGCCGCTGCCCGTCTGCTGGAGCCAGGTGGGCCCTGCCCCAGGCCTGACTTCAGCTTGGTCCCCTGGTGCTTCTCTGCTCTTCTTGCCTAGAGTCGGGATCCTTTTGTTTTTATGATTAAACATTTGCTTTCCTGCCCCAGCCCTGCTGCTGCCTCTGCACTGGCTCAGCCTGGTGGCAGGCAGCCCCCCAGCAGTGGACTAGGGCAACACCCAGGTGCAGGGCTCAGGCAGGAGCAGGAGCTGGGTGAGGAGTGGGGGCTTCGGGCACCACTGGAAGGGAAGCGGAGCTCCCTCTGCCCCAGCTACTGCCCCTGCCACCCGCGGCAGCGCTGCACGTCCTGGTGCCTGTAAATACGAGCCCTGGCCCTCGTGGGCGGGCTGCACCCTGTTAGCACTACAGCTTTGCTTGGTTATTTATTCCCTGCTGCCTGGGCCCAAGCTGCTGCGGGTGGAGGGCTCCTGCTGCATGTCTGTCTGTCTGTCTGTGACGAAGCCGTGGGGCGCGTGGGTGGGACTTGTTTTAACCTCTGCTGACTGACCTGCCTCCCCGTTCGCCTCGGATGCCAGAGGCCAAGCGGGCTCTGTAACGGGATGAATAATACACAAATAAACGATAAAACGGGATGCGTGTCTGGTAGTGCTGTGCAGTCGGGACCCGTGCCGCAGGCTGCTGTTCGTGGCCTGTGCCCGGGGGTCTGCCCCGGCACGAGCTGCAGGCAGCTGGGGCACCTTGCGGCCGGGCTACGGGTGAGGAGCCCCATCTTCCCTCCCGGCGGAAGGCAGCAGCCGCCCTCGGGACCCTGCTGCTGCTGCTGCTTGTGCATCCCGCGCGGGCCCCCCGCCGGAGACGGGGAACTCCAGCG